TTATGTGTGTATGCATGCATGCGTGTGCATTTCCATGTGTATGTGCATGTGTACATATTGTATGTATGCAGTATGTGTGTGTGTGCATGTCTATGGGTGTGTGTTTGTACATGTATGTGTGTTTGTGTGTATATGTGTGTGTACATGTTTGAGTATGTGTGTAAATGTGTTGTGTGTGTGTATATGTGTGTACGTAGGCCAGAGGTCAATGCAAGATGTTTTCCTCTTTGTTCTCTACCTTATTTATTTATTTATTTATTTAGTTAGTTTTGAGACAGGGTTTCTCTGTGACTTTGGAGGCTGTCCTGGAACTAGCCCTTGTAGACCAGGCTGGTCTCAAACTCACAGAGATCCGCCTGCCTCTGCCTCTGCCTCCCGAATGCACCACCACCCGGCTTACTCTACCTTATTTGTTGAAACAGTTTGCAACTGAACACAGCTCATTAATTCTGCCAGACAGACTGGCTAGCAGGCCTCCAGATGGTCTCCTGTTCCTGTCTCTCCAATGACAGGTACAGACTGCAGAACTTGGTGTTTACCTGCATGCTGGGGATCTGATCTCAGGTCCTCATTTGAGTAGCTAACCTTTTACCCACAGTGCCATGTCCTCAGCCCCAAATCATGCCTCATTAGGCAGCGCTACCTGGCCTGGCACTCACAGAGATCCACCTGCCTTGGGCATCCCATATGCTGGGATTGCAAGCATGCACTATGGTGTCCAACTATAGGATGACAGTGTTAGCGTCACCATAGCCAAGGTATGGACACAGTACAATGTTCCTTTTCTCTTTTTAAAATTATTTGTTTGGTTTCTCAAGACAGGGTTTCTCTGTGTAACAGACCTGGCTGTCCTGAAACTCACTATGTAGACCATGCTGGTCTTGAACTCACAGAGATCCACTTTCAGCTGCTCCATGAGTGCTGGGGTTAAGAGTGTGCGCCACCACGCCGGCCGCCGCCTCTTTCTCCTCCTCCTTCAGCTTTATCTTACTTTATGTGACTGCTCTGCTGGTGTGCTGTAGTGCTCTGCATGTGTGCCTGTCTGGTCCCTTGGAACTGGGGTTATGGATGGTGCTGAGTCACCATGTGAGTGCTGGCAATGGAACCTGGGTCCTCTGCAAGAGCAACAAGTGCTGCCATCCCACAGCTGAACCTTCTCTCCAGCTCCACGCTGCTGCTTTTTTCTTGCTCAGTCCTTTTCTTTTCTTTGGAGACACTATTGAATTAGTTATCCTTTGCCGAGCCTTCCATGAACCACATCCATGGCTGCTCTCGGTGCATCACACCACCTGAAGCACCATGCTCTCCTGGGTAGTGGTGGTCCTGGCCTTCCTGTTCCTGCTGGTCTGCTGTCCTCGGGGCCCCGTGCAGGCCTTCTTTGTCTGTCTCTCCTCTATTTCTCTCTGTTGACTTCCAGAGCATGCCACCTAACCGTTTCAAAAGGATCCAGAGGGCTTCAAAGACTTACAGGTGTGGAAATGACTTTGCACACTTGTATAGCACTTTGGTAAGGTAAGAAATGGAGGAGGGAATTTTCTTTCAGGCCTCTTAAGGCCTCTCCTACCAGCTTCCGGCACTACAACTGTGTGACACCGTAGATCACGCAGGCTCCTGATGCTCTGCTGTTCCGGGCTCTGTGTGTTGCTTGGCATCTGTATGTGGCACCCCATCCCCGTGCCATTTTTATCTTTGAAAGTTTCTTTTTTCTTTAAGACTTATGTATTTTATATGTATGAATGTGTTGCCCGCATATATGCCTGTGTGCCGTGTGCATGCCTGGTGCTTGTGGAGGCCGGGAGAAAACATTGGGCCTCCCAGAGCTCAAGTTACCAGACAGTTGTGAGCCACTGTGTGGGTCCTGGGAACTGAACCCAAGTGCTCTTAACCACTCATCTCTCCAGCTGCATTTTCAAAAAATTTAAAGATCTCTTCCCTCTTGCCAGGGTTCTGAAATGCCAGCGTAATATAAGGCTGTTTCCTCTATTTCTGGGGACACAGTCTCTGCATATTTGTGTGTGTGTGTGTATCTTTGTTTTCTTTTTCTCATTTTATTAGTTGCAAGTTGACCCAACAGGAATGATTCTCTGGCTTCCCCACAGCTCCCTGGTGTTTTATATCTTTGTGGTGATGCTCTGCTTTCCATCTGCTTTCTATCCTACAGTAGTCAGTACTTGTGGCAGTGAAGCTGTGTAACAAGTATCTCCAAATCAGTTCTGAACTTAGGTTTTCTCGTGTATTGGTCAGAAGTGGGTAGGTTGGATGCCCTGTGTGTGACTCTCCCTCTCAAAGGTCTTCTGTTCCTGCTTTCTCCTGAGGTTGATGCGTAAACACAAGGGGCCTGGCACGTGGCCACGTGTCTGTGTGTCACCTGCAGAGCGCGTATGCCCTCAGCTAGTCTCATCAGCAGAGCAGAAGCTCCTCCACAGGACGTTGTGTGACCACCCAGTGCTACAGGAGGGATGGGGATGTGCGGTCCTGCCACACCAAGTGGGTTAAGAATAGGACCAGCTCCAGAGTAGTCTTGCCAAGTCACACTTTGTGTGCCCAAGGTCACTCTTGCCCTCTGGATGGCCCCACTCCTCCTGCTCTCCTTTCATGCCTGTAACCCACATCCAAAGGCCACAGCGACAGTAGCGACCTGGGATCTCCCAGCTCGCCAGTGGCTCTGTCCTGCTCTTCACCTGTGCTTGTGACTCCGGTGACTCTGCATGTGTAGGTGTTCAGATGGCCTTTGTTAGCAGGCGACTTTGCTGTGGCATGGCCAGGTAGGCATCTGGCTTTCCATGCCTTCTTCTCTGGTCTGGGTTAGGGGCAACAGAGTAAGCTAGGCTGCAGGATGGGACGAGGGGCTGGGCCCTTCCAGAGCTGTGATGCCTTAACTTCTGAAAGGCAGAGGTCTCCAGAGAGGAGGAGTCGGAAACATTGGTATTCTTTGGGGGCTGCAATCAGTTGGGGCTGCCATAGCAAACTACAGTAGCTGAGGCGGCACAGAATGGCACTTCTCGGTTCTAGAGACTAACAGGCCAAGGCCAAGTCCCTTGCAGACTCACATCTGGAGAGGGCCCGCCTTTCACTGTGTGTTAGTTAATGTGTGGGATGTGAGTGAGCTCTGTGGGTCCCTTTCTGATGCACTGAGTACCAACCCCTCCCCAGAGGCCCTTCCTCCTCTTTCAGCATTGTGAAGGGGAACGCGTGGCCCATGGGTTTGGTGACACACACATCCTGAAGTCTGGCTTCTGAGGACGGGCAGGAGGCCCTTCTTGGCTTGTTCGCCATCATCTCCTGTGTTTGTCTCCTCTTCTCCCAGTACCTGTCTTGGAGTCAAATAGTCACTTTTTTCCCTCATTTTTTTTTCCACCAAAGCTACTTGTGTGTGGTGTGTGTGTGGTGTGTGTGTGTGGTGTGTGTATGTATGTGGGTGTTTGTGCGTGTATGTGTGTGTGGTGTGTGTGTGTCTGTGTGGTGTGTGTATGTGTGTGTATGTGCAGGTATGTGTGTGTGGTGTGTGTGTGTCTGTGTGGTGTGTGTATGTGTGTGTATGTGCAGGTATGTGTGTGTGGTGTGTGTGTGTCTGTGTGGTGTGTGTATGTGTGTGTATGTGCAGGTATGTGTGTGTGGTGTGTGTGTGTCTGTGTGGTGTGTGTATGTGTGTGTATGTGCAGGTATGTGTGTGTGGTGTGTGTGTGTCTGTGTGGTGTGTGTATGTGTGTGTATGTGCAGGTATGTGTGTGTGGTGTGTGTGTGTGGGGTGTGTGTGTGTGTGTGTGTGTGCTGGTGGGGGTTCTGGGAGCAGACCCAAGGTCGTGCACATCATGTTCAAGCATGTGTTCCATCATGGAGCCTACCCAGCCTCTTTCTGAGTATGTTCTCATTGTTGTGAAACAGATTTCCAGAGCTTTCCACTTTCCAAATCTGCATATCCCCGCTGAGCACCTCCCTTTCCACCCCGGAGGCACCGTTCTCCCGAGAGTCTCAGCGAGTTTGAGTTTGGCAGTTTTGGCAGTTCCCAGACCAGAAGGATCACAGAAGCTGTTTCGCATTCACCCACGCAACAGCGCGCGTCAAATGTCCTTTCTCTTTGTGATTTTTAAAATGTCCGAGTGTGTATACATGTGGATTTGTGTGCATGCAGGTGCCCACAGAGGCCGAACGGGCGTCACAGGTGGCTGAGAGCCACTTCTGGGAGCTGAGCCCAGGTCCTCCGTCAGAGCAGAGTGCACTCTTACCTGCCGAGCCGACCGTCCATCTGGTCCCGGATGCCTCCTTTTTTCCTTTTTTTTCTAGGGTGAACAGTGCTCCGTTGTCTGGGTGGATCCACCCCTCCACGGGCACTTGAATTGCCTCCATGTTTTGACTCAGTGAAAGAAGCTGTGGTGGACATGGGTGTGCACACACCTTCCCAAGTCCTGGCTTTAAGTTCTTGTGGGCCTGTACCCAGAAATGGTGCTGTGAATTAATTCTTTCAGGATTTTTTGAGTAAGGGGGTTTGTCACTTGGAATGGTCTCATCCCTACTGTTAGCTCTCTATCCAGAAGGTAGCTGGGTGTGCCCCCTAAATGGACAGTCTGTAGGGACTTCTCGGACCACCCACCTGGGCAGAGGCATCCCGTGGCTGTCCTATGTGGGCCTTAGAGTCTGTGCTGGCCTCTTGAAAGCCACCAGCTTCCAACCTCCTGCGTGGCGCTGACTGATAACCCTCTTCAGCTCACTCATGCCTGTTTTTATATTTTCTGTTCACATGGGTTTGGAGTGTTTTTTCCTCCTAACTCTCGTTATAGACATTTTATATTTTTGTTGGTTTTGGTAACCCAACTCAGCCTTTAGCTTCACTTTACAGGCCTCTTAAGGATGCCTGGGGTTGATCTTTGAGACCCAACTTTTGGGGGGCACACAACAGACTAGCTTTGTTATGCTTCTGACCCACCCCCCCTCCACCTTGGAGTACTTTGCTAGCAACATTGTAATGCCTGCACAGTCCAGGGGCACATGTGATGGTAGCCATGAACGCCTCACGGGGTCCATGCAGTGCTCAGGTATGCTGGTGTGGGAGTGTTCTGCACAGGGCCCTGGGAGAGGGCACTGCCTTCCCCACCAGGAGCTCGTTTTGAAGCAGAGTGAGGGAATCAGGCCAGCCTGGGCTTCATAGTGAGTGAGACGTAGCTCGCTCGGTGAAGGGCCTGCCATACAGACATGAAGACCTGAATGTGGAGTAACGGTGCACTCTGTCCCCACAGGTGTGTGAGCCTCCTGAGCACAGGCACCCAGGTAGCCGCTGGAATATCAGCATCGACGAGCGCAGGCGTCTGGCCATGCTGCACGCGCAGGACAGGACAAACACAGCCAGGGCCCCATCTAAAGACACGCTGGGCCTGCACATCCCTGCCCGGCCAGCTACGTCCTCCCCAGTGACCGGGCCTGCCTCAACCTCTCCCAACCAGATCCCCGAAGCCATGGTCGGTCCCCCGCTGGACATTATGCGCATGGTGGCGGAGGTGGTGTCCGAGGGTGTGGACAGAGATTTGCTCCTGCCTCACCTGGGACATTCTACCAGGCACTCCAACACCTTCCACAACTTCTTGGCTCAGAGTACTCCCCTCTGGCAGAATGAGAATTTTGAGCCCCACACCACAAGGTCACCCCACTCCTAAGAAGGATCCCTGCTTAGCCGGGTGTATGTTGTCCAGTGCCTTTCTTCCTGGTGGGGCCTGACTTCCTTGTGTGCTCTCTGAGTCCCATGGTGGGTATGGTCCACTCACAGAGGACAAACAGGTCAGGTGCAAGGTCTCGGAACTCAGGAGAACTGCCCCTCCTGGGAACCTGGTTGGGAACTATGGGAGAGTTGGAGTGAACTTCCAAAAGAGCCCCTGCTCTGTGGGGCATAATGGTGCCCAGCACTTGCGGGCCTCTGGGGAGGCTAGATTGCCACACAGGTCCTGGTTCATGACCCCCTGCTACTGAGCAGCTGCCTGAAGAGCTAGCGAGATCCCTGCCATGTCCAGTTTCTCCAGTAGTGGGTTTTCATGTCATGGATGGTTTGGGGACCCATGGGATGTGTGACCTGGGGGATGGTGTGATGAGACACTGATGGGGACAGCTCAGGGAGCTGGACCTAGTGAGGCTCTACACATAGGCAGGCTTCCAGGCAACGGATCATTCCCAGCAGTGAACTTGAGTTGGACAAGGCTAGGAAGGCAGTATGTGTGCACCTTGCAGTAGGTTGGCGGTACTATAAGGAGCCTTGGGTCTTCAGTTACTTCTCACTTTGTCTTGAGGTTGGGGTTCCTGCAGAGGGTTCAGGAGTGGGGTGGTAACACATGCCTCATCTGGGAGACAGCAAGTTGAAGGAGAGGCAGAAAAAGTGGTAACCCCAGCCTGTCAGAGTGGTTATAGGGGGGAGCACAACTGGTTGCAGTGGCCTGGGCTTTCTGTGTGGGTGGGGTTAGGCCCAGGGGATGCTGAGTCAAGAGGAAGAGAAAGGTCTTAGGTTCAAGTGAGGGCATGAGTCAGAACTGTGCCCTGGACCCTGAGGGAATCAGCCTGGTCGTGCAGCACCAGCTGCCCCTCCCCAGAATCCATAGCTTCCCATAGACTTATCCATGCTTGATACCGCATGCCCTTGCTTCCCTCCCCTCCTAAGGCTCAGTGAAACCTGTCCTCCTCCAGGAAGTCCGCCTTTATCTCCCTACTGGGCATCAATGCTCAGTTGCCCCTTGATGTAATTTCTGTCCATCCTAGGGGCCTCTACATTTTTTTCAGGATACAGATACGGTGCCACAAGGCCTAGGGCAGGGACAGTCCTAAGGATTGTGGACAGGGCCCTGGGCACCTCGTGACCCTCCCACCTGCTCAGAGTTTAAAGCTGACTTAGAGTGAGAACCAGAGGAGTCCTGCTAATGTGAGCAAAAGTCAAAGGTCACCCACCACACAAAGGCCTTGTGCTGTGTGCATTCAGCTCTGAAGGGTCCCATATTCCCTTTCTCGCATGGCTGAGGGTTGGCAGGGCTCCTCCTGGTCTTGTGCTCTTGCCTGGGCACCTCCTGAGTCTGAAGCCAGATGGGATACGGAGACTCTCAGTTCCTCTTAGAATCTTCCCATCACAGCAACTCAGGGATGAGGCCTACCCGGCCCACTAGCCACTGGCCATAGTTAATTGGGCTGAGGCCAGTGGATTCAGCAGGGAATGTAGCCTGGTGTCGGGATTGTTAGCAGTGCCCGTGAGAGCACCGTTGCCCAGATACTGGGCAGTGTGTAGTTTCTAGTGGCTGCTGCAACTAATTGTCACAAGTTTAGTGTTTTAAGAGAACACAGATTCATTACACTCTGTGGCAGCCTACAGAGGGTCTCACTACACTAAGGATCACGATGGGGCATGGCTGTGTTCCTCCTGAGGCTCACCTTTCTCAGCTGCCTGGGGTAAGTCAGACAGCAACACTGGCTCTGTGCCCACCCCTCTCCCCTCCACTTTTGGCTCCTATGGCTAAGGACCCTTAAGACTACTCTGGGGCCACCCCAATGACCTGGGACATCCCCTGGTTTTAAGGTCAGACCCCATCAGCACATTCACAGGGTTCCCCTTTTGGGAGGAGAGCACAGGGCCTTCTCCAAGGTGTGGTTGGCCTCTAGGGCAGAGGGCTAGGTGCAGCTAAGGTACATAGGACAGCGCCCCACAAACACGTGACCTGGCCCTGAGTCCAGGGTGCTCACTGGGGACAGAGAAGAGTACAGGAGGTGGGGAACTCTGAGGAGAGTGGGGTGAATAGGGGTTCACAGAGGTTGGCTCATCCTAAACGGATCAGAAAGGTCTTGGGGGGAGGGTCCCTGACACCTTAGTCAAGGGGAGCAGGCCAGGTTGGGGGACAACCCCCCAAAGAGGGAGGCTCAGGTTTCCTTGAGCTAGCTGGACATTCAGCACTCACTGACCCAGATGGACACTCTGTCTCTCAATGGGTTGCCGAGGACACACTGTCTCTCAATGGGTTGCCATTGCTGTGACAAAACACCATGACAAAAAAAAAATATAAAGTTGGGGAGGAAAAGGGTTTATTTGGTTTACACTTCCACATTGCTGTTCATCACTAACGGGGTCAGGACAGGAGCTCAAACAGGGCAGGGACCTGGAGGCAGAGAACATGGAGGGGAGCCGCTCACTGGCTTGCTCCTCATGGCTTGCTCAGCCTGCCTCATAGAACCCAGGACGCCAGCCCAGCGATGGCCCCGCCCACAATGGGCTGGGCCCTCCTCCATTGATCACTAATTGAGAAAATGCCTACAAGCTGGATCTCATGCAGGCATTTCCTCACCTGAGGCTCCTTCCTCTCTGGTGGCTCTAGTGTGTGTCACGCTGACACACAAAACCAGCCAGTACACTCTGGATACCTGGAACAGAGAGGCTTCCAGCAGCTGACTTTCGCAGTGCCCGGCTGCTGGGGCACCTAGGAGACGTGGTTCACAGCCGTCTATGTAAGAGATTACTTCCAGGGCTTTGTAAAAACACTTGCTCAAAATTAACCAAGCGGCTTTTTGTTTTTTAAGCAATTTGACTGCTAAAGTGAGGACCGTTCACATCAGGGAGAGATCATCCCAGCCAAAACTGCAACATCTGTGTAAGCAGTGAGCTGCTGCTTACACATAAAAAAAAGAAAAAAGAAAAAAAAAACGCTAAAGAGAAAGAAATTAAAACTATTTAAGCTGGGGAAACCCAATGACAAGATGATATAATGCCAGGTGTGGCGGGGCCTGCTTATAATCAGAACACTCAAGACGGCAGCACGAAGATGGACACAAATCTGAGGCTAGCCTGGGTTGCACAGTGAGATCCTGTCTCAAAAAAACCCTGTTTTTAGGAAGTATAAGTGCATTGAGGGATGAGTACCACTTGTTTTTCAGTGTAGACAACACTGATTTTTGGTTTGCTATTGAATGCCATGGGACTTCCCTGCTCTGCCCTAGCCCTTTCTCAGCCGATTCATAGAAGCAAAACCTTCCAAATCCCCTGCCCCTGTTCTGCCCTCCTGTAGCCAGCTTACCTCCAGCACTTGGGCCATTTGCACTGTTTAATATTTTTTAATTAGCTGAAATTGAGGTCAGCTCCTAAGTTTTATTACTTCTCTACTTCATGTACAAGTGCCTGCATGTGTGTGCACCATGAAGTGAAGTGCCCAAGGTGGCCAGCAGAGGGCATCAGATCCCTGGAAACTGGAGTTAACAGTTGTGGACAACCACATGGGTGCTGGGAGCTGAGCCACAGTCTCCTGCAAGAGCACCAAGTGCTGAGCCAAGCCATCTCTCCAGGCCCCTAAGGTTTTACTTTTTATTTTATTTTTTGGGCTTTTTGAGACCAGGTTTCTCTTTGTAGCCCTGGATGTCCTGGCACTCGCTCTGTAGACCAGGCTGGTCTCCAACTCACAGAGACCCACCTGCCTCTGCCTCCCGAGTGCTGGGATTAAAGGCGTGCACCACCACCACGGCTTTTGTTTCTTTTAGATATAGTCTCATGTAACCCAGGCTGGCCTTAAACTATGTAGCTGCTCTTCTGTCCTGCCTCTACTTCTCGAGTGCTGGGATTACAGCTATGTATCACCTGGACATTTTTTTTCCTTTTTGATGTATCATTTCTTCCTCTCTCCTTTCTCCAAACCCTCCCATATCTCCCCTTGCTTTCTCTCAAATTCATGGCTTCTTTTTGCATCACTTGTTATGTGCATATATGTATGTACACCACACATATTTCTAACCTGCTCCGTCTGTATAATGTGACTTGTATATATGTTTTCAGGCCTGTCCATTTGGTATTGGATAACCAATTGGTGTGCTCCTCCCTGGGCAAGATGTCACTCTCACATTCCTTAGTTGCCTTTAGTTCTTTGTGTAGAGTTGAGACCCTCCTGGTCTTTCCCCTGCCCACTCGAGTTTTTAAAGAGCTTTTTCCTGTCATTGTATGTCTGGAAAGCTTTCTTGATGGCCTTATATATGCAAGAAAATCTGTCTGGGTAAAAAACTGTGGGTTATATTTTCTTCTAAAGAGCTGTTTCTCTAAGCTTTGAGTGCTGCTAGAAAGAAAAAAAAGGTCAATTTTCTATTTTTGTGGGGGAGAAGGAAGGAGGAAAGGGTTTACTTTGGCTTACAGTCCATCAAAGGACAGGAACTCAAAACAGGAACCTGGAGGCAGGAGCTGAACCAGAGGCAGTGCTGCTTACTGACTTGTTCTTATGGCTGGCTCAGTTTGCTTTCTTATATACCCCAGGACCACTTCCTGGAGTGGCCCTACAGGCTAATCTAATGGAGCAATTCCTCAACAGTTCTTCCCAGATGACTCTAGGTCAAGTTGGAAAAAACAAAACAAAACCCACAATTGACCCCTTGTCAGTTAACAAACACAACACAAAATCTTGTTCTCAAGATCATGTCAATATACAGTATAACTTTGAAAATCATACAGTCTTTAAACATTTCAACACTTTAAAGTCAAAGTTCTCTATAAAAATCCAAAGTTTTTTTTTTTTTTTTTTTTTTTTTTTTTTTTTTTTTTTTTCTTTAAAAATCCAAAGTTTTTTTTTTTTTTTTTCTTTTTTTTTTTTTTTTTGAGACAGGGTTTCTCTGTGGCTTTGGAGGCTGTCCTGGAACTCACCCAGAACTCACAGAGATCCACCTGCCTCTGTCTCCCAATTGCT